GCAGAACAGCTGATGAGATGCCCAAGTAGTAAACTGTGCTGTATACATTCACTTAAGTGTGACTAAAAAAGCAAACGTATATTCCAAAACTGCTGATTGTCGTCAGTTGAATTTCATGCAATGTTGGAGGAATATACGTTCATATTTCTCACTTATTATCGGGTAGAAGTGTACAGAAAGCAATAAAGATTTTTTTAATATTTTTACAGTGTCATCAACAACAACACACATGTAGTTGACCATCGACAAGACCTCGCTTACTCGAAAATGTTTTTGTACAAATTCTTGAGAAAATTTTCTGAAAAATTTTTGAGAATTTTGAGAAATATTTTCCCTTGGAAAAGAGCATATTCACTTCGCGGGAAACAGTTGGATTATCGATCGCGAACATATACACGCCTTATAATTTACTCAAGATGAAACTTCAGGAGTTTCACCACCCTAGTGATATGAAATACATATTCCACGACTACTGCATATCACCGCGAATAATATCGCGTTTTCACATGGAGTTTTACGCCACCTCACGAAAAACGGGTGAAATTGCAGTAACTATGCTTACCTATATCAGGTGTCGCAGTGGTTTTCCATTTTATCGTTTCTGGCGAGCTGACAACTGCCAGCAGAAGGACTGCCTCAGTGAAACTACTTGTAAATTACAATGCTTGTCGAAAGGCCTGGACGTGGCCGCTCTGGTGTACGATCAAGTTGGTGGTGTTCGCGGTGAGGTTCCGAAGGAGTGCAGGTAATATACTCAACAATCTGTGTATAATTATATATGCGATATATTTGCGATGTGGATATCACTGATGATTGCGTGTTTGGAAACTGCGATATCATCGGTGGGTGTAGTTAGGATAGGTACAAGTATTGTTGGAGTTTCACCACCCTAGCGATATGAAAAAAAAATTTCACGACTTTTGCATATCACCGCGACTATCGCGTTTTTCACCGAGTTTTACGCCACTTCACGTAAAACGGGTGGTGAAACTCTAATATGAAGAAGAGCTGATTGTAGTACGCGAAATCTGAAGACTCAATTTCGTGCGGAATTCTCAAATTTCCAACTACTACTTATGCCCACCTGAAATTTTGTCTGAAAACTTTGCTAATATGATTATACAGTGACAACTGCATAGCGCGAATATCGGATTTCCTACAAAGTTTCACGTAAAACTACATCTTGAACGGAATTGAATTTCGGAAAAAAATTTTCCCGCAATTTTTTCATTCCCCCTGCTCTACATTCTCCGCTGCAGAATACAGCAGTGGCTCTTACTAGTAATTTTATATTGGGAATCTGTAATCATATTTATTCGTGTCGTTTTCAGATGTGGAGGATCGCAAATGTTGGCTATATGGAAGAATTGGCATCAACTTGCTGATCATTCCGTGGAGTTTGATACTATACAGTATTTGTTACCTCCAGAGAAGCTAGAAGAAGGTTCATGGGTAGGGGTGGCAGTGTGTAACTGTTAACACAACCCACTCGAGCGATGAATAACTTATTCTTACGTTACTTATAGTATTACAGAATATATGAATATCTAGCACAGCTTAGCTCGAGGACAGTTGTACCACAAATGGGACAGTGACACAAGTCCTAACAAGTGGCTCGTCGGAGATTTCTCCACTGAGATAGTGTCGTCGAATGCAGTGTTGGAATTTCCTCAGTTGAGCGGAGGAGTCTCCTGATTAGTTACAGAAATTGTACAATGGAGTTTCACCACCCGTTTTACGTGAAGTGGCTACGTAAAACTCGATAAAAAACGCGAAATTCCCGGTGATATGGGTGATGTGGAAAACACTAGTAAAAATATATTTCACGACTACTGCATAGTACGGGTTAACGAAGATTCACCCGTTTTACGTGAGGTGAAAAACGCGATATGAAGTGAATTGAAAATACTCGGCGAATAACACTCTATTCCACGCCTGCGTTTTTGATATCACGATTGTCTTTATGGCAGGAAGAAGGATGCCAAATTGAGGCTTGGAAATTCGAGGATGAAAGCCCCGAGGACGGCACGCCGCCGTTGTCACTTATGGACGTTAATGCTGAGGTTGGCGTTATCTGTTGTTGTATGTGTTGATGATGATGGTCGGCTTGATAGGATGTGGCGTATCAATTGGCAATTATTATCGGTGCTGATGGCGTTGGAGAGATAGAAGATACTACTCCTGATGATGATGATCCGTGAGTTGAGGGGGGAGTGGTAGGATAGTGAGAATTTATTGAGAAACACCACCCTAGTGGTAAACATATTTCACGACTACTGCATATCACCGCGAATATCGCACTTTTCACCGAGTTTTATGCCACTTCACGTGAAACGGGTGGTGAAACTCCATTTGTTAGTGTATATAAATCAGCGAGTGAGTACGACTAAAACGCAAAGCAATGAAGAGTACGAGGATCTCACGTTCGAATGAGAAGGGAGTTGAATCTTGAAACAGGACGTGGTGTTGCGGAGTCCATAGTGTTAACATTCTAGTTGATAGTTTTACGGAGTGTTACCTCGTACGAGGTAAACGGTTTTGGCTATAATATCTGAATGGGATGTTTTGAAACAAAACCAAAGGTATATTCTTGTTCAGCACGTTTTTCTCAATTATTGAGACTCAATAGGCCTAGCCATTCAGCTCACCTCGGAAGTTTATCCCATAATTTTCGTACAGATTTGCCACCCGTGTCGTATGACTAGGAAGGACGTCAATGGAGTTTCACCACCCTTCTTACGTGAAGTGGCGTAAAACTCGGTGAAAAACGCGATGTCAGGGTCGGTTTCTGTTTTACTGGGGGAACGCAAACTAGTGGGCATAAGAAAAAGTAACAACACACATTCTTGACTCTCACCCAATAAGCGATCCTTTAGCTCGTTACGTAGCTAAGGATAAGAAGATATAATTACACAATTAGAGCGCATCTTCACATTACAACTCAACCCCCTCTTTTCCATAAGCTTGGTACCGCTCAAGCATAATAGTTCACAGCCTGTAGTAGTCGTGAAAATATGTTTTTCACTCAAGTTGGTGTTGCGGAGTCTGCAGTGTTAGCGGTCTGGTTGATGTTAGAAGATTCATGTCAGGCGAGCTGAAGCCGTGAAAAACCGGCGAGATAAGTGCTTAATCGCTGGCGAGGTCGGCGGTGATATTAAAAGCCTCGCGCTGAGAGGTAAGGCTTTATGAAAAGGTTGCATCGGAGTTTCATAAATTGTTCACCTGCGATATCATCTCGCGAAATTATCCTAACCATCACTAGAAGAGGCATCCAAAATATGCAAAGATATGAAAATTTTTAGAAAATTTTGGGAAATTCTCATTGATTCCTGTACATCTCTACACGGGTTCATATGCTAGCGCGACTACTGCATATCACCGCGAGTATCGCGTTTTTCACCGAGTTTTACGCAACTTTACGTAAAACGGGTGGTGAAACTACATAGATTGGTATGTGGCTTTGCATTAGGTCGGGCGCGAAAACGACGACGAAAAATTCGGAGGAGAGAAGATCCGATGGAAAAAGACGATCGGGGTGTGCCGTATGCATCTAAGGTTAGAAAATCTTCATACTGCGCAAATGGGTGGTATCTTGGTGTGCATGCGTGCAGGGAGAGTGTCGAGGAGTAAGGGAGGATACGACTTGTTGGGAAAGAGCCATTAGGGACACCGGATGTGGGGTGAATTGTGGAGTGTTGGAGTTTGATAGTAAGTATAGGAGACAGTGGTGTGGAAGAGAGGTAATAATGCGGGCTGCCGGGATCGAACCTGTGCGGGATTTGCTGTATGTGGTAGAGGAAGGAGTCGTAGTATAGGTAGTGCAGCAATAGCAGCAGCAGAGCTAAGCTAGATACGCTGTAGTTGACGCTAGTCTTGATTCGACAGTAGTTCCTAATTGTAATGTGATAATATATGGCTATATGGTATTTCAGCAGAGTTCTTTACGGGGCGGAGCTCACTTAGTCCACGTCTATTGATTCGTTCAATGAATTTGACATAGGTCCCCGGTTCGATTCCCGGGTAGGACATTTCTCCATCATTAAACATATCTCTTCGAGCTGTTCGCATACCGATTTTCCCAAAACCTCCGCATACAGAGGAGTCGTTTGATCTATCTGATAGCCTCCCACGCTCCGTAGTGAAACCAGAATAATTCTGCACAACGCAAAAGTGCCTGTTGTTGCTTCGCAATTATTGTATATTTGATTTGATAGTAACCTATGAACAGCAATATGTGTCGTAACATTATGTGTGTTTAGGAAAAGGAGAAGTGTCCTATCACGTGCGGTGAATGTCGTCTGTACAACCGCAGTCCTCAAAATGGCGCTGATGTTCCTCTGTGGCTACCTAATAAAGTGAGAGCTTGTGTGGAGAGAAAATATGCAAATGGTCAACTACATGTGTTTGGAAATTTTGGAAAATTTCCGACTTCACCTGAGGAAAGCGAACATATATTTTACCATTGACAGAAGTAACTCGATCGGCTTCAGGACGCTGATGGTCAAATTTCAATTCCGTATGTTTTCGATGAAGATAGTATGGACTCTGGTAGAAGGACAGTGATGCGGGCAGCGGCGAGGGCGTGGCGAGAGAAAACTTGCGTAAGCGGAGCGAAGCGAAATTTGATGGTAATTATTACGAGTAGATTAACTTCTATGAAGCTACACCAGAGTCTATTGGAAAGAAGGCACATGTTGTTGTGAAAGTAATAATGGAGTTTTACCCGCTTTTCGTGGAGTGGCGTAATTTTCTATGTGAAAAACGCGAAATATGTTTTTTCCATAGCACAGGTGGCGTTTGTGTATCAGGTCCTTCGTTCGAGGTCTGGAACTCCATCAGGGTGTAGCGCGGGGCCGCTCGGGTATCCAGAAAATGAGAAAGCGTTTATGAATTTGGGATCCTGTTCGGATATATCAAGATTGGGCAGTGTAATCCACGAGCTTGGACATGTTTTGGGAAGTAATAATTTTGTGGCGCGTGACGGATTATTTCAACTGACGTTTCAGTGGTGCACACACAAATGCGAGGCGACCGTAATAACTATCTAAATATGATCTACGACAACATCAAGCCAACAACATTGAAGAATTTTGCTGTTAGACACTACTCGTAGTAAATCGATCATCTGGGCGCGCGCTAATGTCATTGATCAGATATCAAGGAGTAGATGGGCATTTTGCTCCGTATGATTACGGCAGTATTATGCACTATACGAAAACGCAGGGGATGATTGTGGATAAATACGACCCGCGAACTAATCCTGGGGTCTTCACTTTAAAGGGCGAATACGAACCAGGGATCACTCAGGTTGGTAGCTGTTGATTCTATGCGCATGGTCAACCACATATTTTGGTGACACTCCGAAGATTATGAGGATTTTTTTTGGAAAATTCTCAATGATTTTTTTTGTAAATGCAGACGGAATTCATGTGTAAACTTGTATAATTAGTGAGGAAACTTCTGCTAGACTCAACTGAGGAAAGCGAACATATATTCCAACACTGGTTTGCGGTATCGTTGGAGTTTCACCACCCTAGTGATATGAAAAACATGTTTTACGACTACTGCATATCACCGCGAATATCGCGTTTTTCACCGAGTTTTACGCCACTTCGCGTAAAACGGGTGGTGAAACTCCATTGATCATGGATTTCATGGGAAAATCATCAAGCTGTTAAGTAAACTCATTTCCGGCTTTGGAAGATATGAAAATACAGTGTGAGAAAATATGCACATAATCAACTACATATGTTGGTGAAAATTCTGAGAGGAAATTTCGGAAAATTCTCACTAGTACATTTCTACCCGAATAAGGCTGACATATATTCCTACTTCAACGTGGTGCTCAGGTCGGCCAGCGTGAACACCTTTCTGAGCTGGACGTCGCGGAAATCAACTCGTTATATTCCTGCAGAGTTTCCTCTACTACTACTACCACGCCCTCGCCACTTCATACGGTGCTGGAGCCTACCAGAGCAATAAAGAGTAGGGGACAATTGATTGTGTGATTTTTGTAAGTGTAGTTGTAGATGAGCACGCGAGAGTGGAAGCTTTAGAAAGAGAGTTGAAGACTGATCAGGGTGAGTACAGTAGTTCTGTGGTGGTTAGTTCGCACAACGGTGAAGTTTCATCCGGTTAACTCCGTGAAAGAACGCGATATGCAGTAGTTGTGGAGTATATATTTCACTGGTGTTTTTCATATCACTAGGGTCAAAGTCCATTGATAGTTATCTTCGCATAAGTATTGCGTATATAATTAACTATAGTTTGCGCATATTATTAATTATAGTATGCGTATATTATTAACTATAGTATGCGCATATTATTAACTATAGTATGCGCATATTATTAATTATAGTATGCGCATATTATTAACTATAGTATGCGTATATTATTAATTATAGTATGCGTATATTATTAACTATAGTATGCGCATATTATTAACTATAGTATGCGCATATTATTAATTATAGTATGCGCATATTATTAACTATAGTATGCGCATATTATTAACTATAGTATGCGCATATTATTAACTATAGTATGCGCATATTATTAACTATATTAATAATTATAGTATCTTCAGTTTAAGTCGATCGATTTGGACGTCAATTCGGGCTGTTTACTCACATAGAGTTTTTTTACAGTTTTTTTTCTAATACAGTTACCATAGCCCAGCACATCACATCAGCAGTAGAGGAAGCGAATAACTCGGGTGGAATGCTCACCAGTGTGGCGAGAGATCATCT